AAAAAAAAAAAAAAAAAAAAAAAACAATAACCAAAGCGTACAAATAAATAAATAAATAAAAACAGAAAAAAGAAGTTTTTCTTTTTCTTTTTTCTTTTTGCTACTATTCATGCTGGAAGTGCTGGTTGGCCCTGAACTCTTGGTAAAGAGTAAACATAACGTGCAAAGAGTCAATGAGAGAATTGTACGTTGGAATGTCTAAAATACAACAGAGAGTACGTACGTATTGATCAAGATCAAGGTCAATATGCGGTGGAGGAAATTGAAGATCTGAATTAAGAACTTCTTCAAACTCCGGGGGCCAAACCTGCAGTAAAGATTCTATTTCAGGCATGGGTTTTTGATAATTTATTGCAGGTAATGGTTTCTTGTAGTGTACTTTCTTTACATCTGCAATCCATCGATCAATAACTTCCGGCCGATTAGCAGCATCTTCAAATGAATCTACCACCTCCGCCAAACCACCACTAGAGTGGATATTAGTTGCACGGAGTTCCAATAATACTACCGCTGGATTAGACTGAGATACGGAGGGTTCATCCAAAACATAAATACCCAAACCGTCTGGTTTACCATCTGGTCGAGGAATTTTACAAAAGGGATCAAGATCACCAATAGATGGAACATAATCCGGTATAAATGGACGTAACTTTGCTGGAAGTTCTGGTATAACAGGTTGATAATCCAAAATATGTTTAAAAAGTTCTTGCATCTCTCGGCTAGCACTGGCATTTATTTTAGCATAATCCTGCGGTTTGTATTCAAGGTTCGGTATTATAGTTGGTGCAGTTTCCGTCTCTGTATCTATAGCATCTGGTCTCTGATTAGCATATCCACGGAATCCCCCAGCATGTTCTTCACTTTCCTCCTCTGTGCTTTCTTCTTCTCCCTCAGGTTCCATTGGAATTTGAGTCTTTGGGGTTTCCTTCTTCGGTGTTCCTATAGAACTGGCATGTGCAGAAATAGGAATAGCCTCATCATGTGGGGCATTTCGTAAAATAAGTCCCTTTGGTGATCCACTTCTCTCCTTACTCTCTGCACGTGGTGTATTGATGTTAATTCCATCATTCACTCGCACCATCTCATCATTTGGATTGTTGTGCAGCATCTGCACGGCGTCTCCCATCTGCAGCTGCGAGGGCGGTAGAGGAGACTGCGGGCGCTGCGGTGTATCGACGCCCGTCGGTGTGCGCACAGGCCTCGCGTCCTCCACATTATGTCTCTCATCATTTGGGTTGTTTACCAACATCACATTGCCGGTTCCCTCTTCACTGCCGGAGCGTGTGTGTTCCTGCTGTTCTTCACTACTAGTCACTTCAGACTCATCTGTGGATTCAACCTCTTCGGTATCGTCTTCGCTGTCGATCTTTCGCTTTGGTGGCATTTTGAGCTTTTGCGTACTCTAATTGATCCCTTTGCTTTATCTTTTTTTGCTTTCTTTTTTTTTTTTTTTGTTTCCTTTAGGTTTATTTATCCTTAAATATCTTTTGACATCAAAACATAAAAAGAAGAAAAAAGGAAAACTGATAATACGTAGAACAGTACTTGCACAAACACACATATACATAGAGAGGAGAAGAAAAACAAGAACATCAAAATAAAAAAAAAAGATTCAAAAAAGTCTTAAACAGTGTAAAAGTTTTTATAGGGCCATTAAAGACAGATATACCCGTTCTTACTTTCATTTCAGCGGAGAAAAAGAAAGACATAATATGCCGTCAAATATCGTTATAAATACCGCGCTGTCTTACTACTGTTCCAACATACAATTTAAACAATAAGAGGAAGGAAAACAAAAAAAAAAGAGAACAAAAAAAAAAAAACAGGTATATATATATGCACAATTTCACATTTCTACTTGAACACATGGTCACATTCCCGCCAAACATACATTCTACAATGACTATTGAGGGAATAAATAAACTGTATATAAAAAGAGAAAATAAAACCACTCACCTTTTTCATGCGAAAATAATATAATACTCTCAGAACATTGACAATAAAAAAACACGAACAGAAAAAAAAAAGAACAGTAAATAAAGGGGTAAAAAAAAAACATCAAATCAAAGCACATCTTTATTACTAAGGACATCAATAATAATAAGCACGTATAGCACATCATAGATCTACAGGTGTTCCTATAGAACTAACATTCGCCGAGAGAGGAATAGCCTCATCATATGGGGCATTTCTCAGAATAAATCCTCTTGGCAACGGACTACTCTCCTTACTCTCATATCGGATTTTGCGCACAATAAATCCCTTTGGAGACTCACTTCTCTCCTTACTCTCTGCACGTGGTGTATTGATGTTAATTCCATCATTCACTGGCACCCTCTCATCATTTGGATTGTTGTGCAGCATCTGCACGGCTTCTCCCATCTGCAGCTGCGGTGTATCGACGCCCGTCGGTGTGGGCACAGGCCTCGCATCCTCCACATCATATCTTTCATCATTTGGGTTATTTACCAACATCACACTACCTCTTATCTTATTACGATCGAGTCTGGTGGGCTCCAGTTGTTGATCTCGCTTTACATTTTGTATACTGATTGTTTCCACATTATTCTTGTCACTGCCAATTGTACGCTTTGGTGGCATTTTGAGCTTTGTGTATCGTTTAACTGATCTTTTTTTTTTTTCTTCTTTTTCTTTTGTTGTTTCCTTTGGGCAAACTTACCCTCAGTTATCTGCTATAGAGTCGAATAAAAAAAATAAAAAAAAAACAGTAGAAAGCAAACAAAGAGAGAAAGAATAACAGCGAAGAACACATATGGTCACTTCCAGAGTGAACAAGACTTATAAAATATACAAAGATACACAGCCAAACACAGACGTACAAAGAAAATGGATAACAATTATGTAGAGAGAAAAAAAAAGGAAGACGGAAAAAAAAAAACAAAGATATCTACAATAAATACGCCACAAACCACCAATAAATGATTATTCACTCGGATGGAAAAAAAAGAAAGAAAAAGAAAAAAAAAAAAAAAACAAAAATGGTGAGCGAAAAATATAGAATCCCCCCATCCTTTTTTTCTTTTTCTTTTTTATTGTTAGTGTTCTTCTTCCCTTTTCATTTTCATTCACTTCAGCTCCTTCTTTTTTTGTTTTTGTTTTGTTGTGTTTTGTTTCCTCTATTTTTCCTTTTTCTTTTTCACAACCCACATGCATAAATATATATATATATATATATATATATATACGTTACGCACTTCTATTCTACCCTTCTACAATTACACTGGGGATGTGAAGGAGCAGTTTTACTGCGTTAACCGCAGAATTTCAGGAAGCACAAATCCTTCAGGTTTTGCGACATCTTCTGCCATTTGACGTTCCATCTTTCTTTTAATATACGAACGAAATGCCTCTGAGCATCGTTGAAATTGTTGATCAAATTCAGCACTTCTAGGATGTTGTTTCAGGTATGTATATAACTCCTCAATACCTTGATTAGATGTCAAATGATTACGAATACGGTTAAATATAGTTGCGACGGATTTTTCTGTTACCGCAGAAGGAATGACAACAACGTGGGAAGAAGGATAACCCGCAGATGTGGGTGGGGCATGTGGATCCACATGAACACTCTTACGACGATTAGGAGTTTGTTGTTGTGGTTGTTGTGGTTGTGGTTGTTGTCTTTGCTGTCTACTGCTATCTATTGTTGTTTCCCTATCATTCCCATTATTTGATCGTAATGCTCGTTCTCGATTTTCAAGACAAGCTCGAATAAAATGCGTAACAAGATTTTGTGTTCCCACCAGTTGTTCCGCAATACCAAGAAGTGGTTGTCCACAGCGTAGGGAAAGATCTTGTAATACTGTTTTGACTGTACGAATAGAAAGATCATCCAAATTTCGGAAAGCACTGGGAGGATGTTGAAGTAAATATTCATGACAGCATAATATCACATTATCAGGAGAGACGGTATTAAAATCCAGTCGCATCAGACATTTCACAGTTACTTGAATATATTTTAAATCGGTCTTTTTACCAGTTTCAATATACGTTGTGGAATACCTCGTCATACGAGACATTAAAGCGCTAAACACATCATTACCAGGACAACCTTCAAGTAGTTTTAGCGTCATATTATTAAGAGCCTTAATAACTTTTTCCTGTAATGAAAAAGGCTCTGAAAGGAGACAATCAAATATCATACCTAACATCCTAAATAGAAGACTACTATGACATCGTTGGGCACAACGAGGGGTTTCAAATATAGTCTTAAGACATTCAATTAATTTAAGAGCAAGTTCAACATCAAGTTTTTTGGTATTTTCATAAAGACGTTCTACCATAACTTGAATCATTTCAGGGGTTCCACAATCTTCTCCACTTTGAAGTCGCTCCATAAATTCTTTACATGCATTAGATGCCGTTGTAGAAGAAGCAGAACGAAGTCCTACCATAATTTCTTGTATAGATAACAATTCTTCACTGTGTATATGAGGTCTTGATGAACGAACAGCTTGTACTGCAGGAACTATAGTAGTTCCAGTAGGTCCAGATCCATGAGTCATTGCAGATAATGCTCCTGATCCTGATATCGACATTGATGTCGATGATGTTTGTGATTCTTTTACCAATGATGTTCTTACCATTCCTGAATATGGTTGTTGTGATTGTTGTTGTGATTGTTGAATATTATTAGACTGCACAAGTGGGAGTTCCATATTTTTCTGACTTATACTCATATCTTTACTTCCAGTTCGTGAAGATCGTGGGGAATGTGGAGAACGTGGTGTAGGGAGTAACGGTGGATGAGAGGATGAACTTATCGTAAGTAGTGTAGAGACATGCCGAACATCCTCCTCATTACCATTACGAAGATATAATTGTAATTGACGTTCAATAGGCGCCATTACACTTTGCTGCTCCGCCGGCCGAAGTGTATGCACCGCACGTAATAAAGCCTCATCTCCAACAATAGGAAGGAAATAACCAATAACACGTTCTGCCGCAGATCGAACTTCAAGAATACGACTCAGACAAAGTTTTACAACAGCAGGTACAAGAGAATTAATAACTGGACGTGGTAAATTGGCATCTGGTTCTAATTGAAATCCACGTTCAATTAATTCCAATGCTATTTGATTACAAGTATGAGATTCTGCTGTAAGGGGTTTTAACATACATTGAAGTGTAGTTTCCAAACCAAGACAATCTAATGCACGATATGCTACATTAGCTGCTTCTTCACGTAAGTTTACTTTTTGATCACCTAACATTCCCAAAACACCTTGTAAAATACTTTTGAGAGCTGGACGACATGCAGCAAGACCAGCAGATTCTACTACTAAAGCAACAGTTCGTAATACATCTATTACAAAATTTTTGTTAACTTCATCAAAACGAGTACGAAGGGCTCGTAGTATCTCTACTGTTCCATTTGCTGCAATCCTTTTGTTACTTGCATACATAATTTCTTCAACTTTTTTTACCGCATCTAATCGCATACGCCAATCTACTGAATTTGTTATTTGTTTCGCTAAAGGTAATAATTGAGAAGAAACATCCACTCTACCTAAATTATCCTCATTTTCTCCAAGAGATTGTGATAAATGACGATTTCGAGATAAACCATCTCCTCCTACTACTACTCCATCTGTATTAGGATTTAAAGAAGCAGAAAATCCAACAGCTCTACTTTGATTAAATGCTTTTGAAGGAGATTTACCTTGTACTTTATGTACACGTGAAGGAGAAACTGGTGAGGGAGCTCTTTGTATTTCTGAACCAATAGAACGACGAGGTTCTTCTTCTACCATAGAACTATGATGTGCAATAGCTTCTTCATATGCACTACGTATAGCTGGACTAATATTTCCAAGATAACTATCTACAACAGGACCTGTACGAAGTCTGAGAACTGCTAATAAAGTTATAGCAGATGTTCGTAAAGGAGGAGAATGTTGATCCAAACAATGGGATTTTAAATACTCTACTATACTTCTAGCATCTACAGGAGATGTTGGAAATAATTGAAGTATTTGAGTTATATACTCATTACATTCTTGCATAAGTTTTGCAGATTTAAGAGTGGCTAATACCCCAATCATATGTCGTACTACAAAAGAAACTCCTTGACTTTTTACAAGGAAAGTTAATAAATCACGAATAGCTACTTTATTTTTTGGTTCGTTAAATCTAGATGTACAACCTGCTATTATCGCATAGCTGGCTCCAGGACTTACAGATGTTGCCCGAGTTACAAGTTCTTGAAATATTCCAATCATAGCTTGTAAAACTTGAAATATAGATTCTCTCCATCCTGGATCTACTCGAAGGTAAACAACCACATAATCTAAATTTTTTGTACACTCTTCATTAGACCATTCATCTATCATTGCTCGTAGTTTCATTACACCATTATATCGATTAGACCACTCCTTTGAACGAAGTAAAGGAATGACGTTTACATCACCATTCATTAATCCTAATATACGTCGAAATGCTTCATCCTTAGATGGTAAAGAAGATTCAAGTGTTACTGAATCATCTGAAGTTACATTATGATGATGATGATGATGAGATAATGGAGTATGTCTTCGACTTTCAGGAGAAGAACGACGTGGCATAGCAGAAGCCGGACGTCTTCCTCTACCTGTATTAAGTGATGAATTACTACAACTAGGAGCTCCAATAGATAGACTTCTCGTATTTGTAGAAATTGATCCTTCTCGTCTTTCTGTACGAAGAGTTTTCTTTGCTGGAGAGCCTGTAGGAGTACAAAGAACATTTGCTGTAGTATTAATAGCTGCAGCAAGTTTAGCACGTTGTTTTTCATCAAGAGAGGAAAGAAGATTCTGAAAATTTGCTTCTCCAAAACTAGCCATTAATTTAGCTACAAGTGTAAAACTAGCTTCACGAATTTCAACTTTTTCATCATTCATAAGACGACATAACATATTTTGAGCACGAAAAAGACGATTAAATTGATTTCGATCCAATTTATCTATAAGTCGTGTAAGCCAAAGAACTAACGCTAAACGTTGATTAGGAACACGACTTTGAGTAGTAAGTTCAATTTCATCTTGACATTGATCCAATGTAATACATTTATAACGTATAAGAGTTTCAAGAGTTGTTGTAATATGTTCTACTACACTTGTTTTTTTATCTTTCATTTTATCAAATAAAGGACTTAATAAAGAACGTGCATGTGGAGCAAATGAACCTCGTAATGCTCTCGCTAATTCTTGAATACACTTAAATCCCATTAACATAAGAGGAGCTTGAGGGTCCAAAAGTAATTCTCGAACTAAACTTACAAGTTCATGATAATCATCTTTTACTCGAATTTTTGGAGCGCTAATAAGTGGAAGGAGATGATCTTGCACCATAGCAACACGATCCTGCCATTTGGCACTTTTATCTAATGTAACTCTGTAAAAATCACGTGGAAGTTTCGTTAACACAGGTGTTTCATCATATATTTCATAAGTTTCATCATCTATATCATTTGAAGGTCCACCATGACCAGATAAGGATACCAAAGGAGCTGCTGGTTTTAATGGTGTAGAAGGTGTTTGACCTCGAATACTTTTTGGTGGTTTTTCTCCCAACTTCACATCATCAAAAAGTTTTTCCAGTTCCTGCAGTTGTACATCACGAAGATCTGTGAGAAAACTCTTAATACCTGCTCCAATAAACCTATAGCATTGACAACACAACGAGAGTGCCTCCTTTCGCACTTGTGCGTTCGCATCATTAAAGAGTGGTTGCATTGCCTTAAGAATAGCCTTTGTGGGAATTCCCTGAACACCGAACTCCCCTACAATATGACTGCATAGCTGCACGGCGGCCATACGATTCTTCGGTGTTTTGTGTGCGAAGACCGGGAGGAGGGCGTCGAAGACGGCGTTCTGCTGCCCGGCCTCGACGAGCTCAGAGACGAAGGCGGCACTCGCCTGCGCGGCGCGGGGGCGACCGGTGATGCCGCGCTCGAGAACGGCCCGCAGCGGGGCGGCGGCGAGAAGTTCGAGTTCGCTGCCGTCGCAGACCGGCACCAAAGCGGCGAGCGCCTCGAAGAGGGCCTCCTGCGCGGCGGCGTTGTTTTCGCCGGCGAGTCGCTTCGCCTCGTCGAGGAAGAGCGCCTTGTGCGGCGCCGGGGCATCCCGCACCCGCTCGAAGCCCGCCCGCCGCGCCCGCCAACTCGCGTGGGTGAGCAGCGACTCGATGGGGAGGCCCGAGAAGTCCTCCGACGGGGTGACGGCGGCGATGTCTACACCACTGGTGCTGCCGCGAGGGGCAGCCAAAGTGGAAGCGACAGCAGTGTCGTCGTGTAGCATGTCAGGATGCGTTTATATATTATATAGATATATATATACGTATATGTATAAATATATATATACAAATATTTATACAATCTCTCTCTCTTTTTTTTTGTTCTATTTCTTTTTCTATTTATCGTTCTTTCTCTCTCTTTCTCTTTCTAACTCTGTCTCTCGGTCTGTATGTGTGTGTGTGTGTGTGTATAGTTCTTTTTTTTTTTCTACGGTTCTCGATTTTCCGTTTTTCCTTTATTATTTTCTTTCTTCTTCTTCTCTTATTACTTCGTCTTCGCTTTTTTGTGTCTGTTTGTTTGTTTTTTTTAAAAATATATATATACACCTCTGTGCCGTTTATTACTTTGTTTCTTCTTTTTTGTTTTGTTTTTCTTTTTTGCGTTGAGGAGCGCTCGCACCTTTTTTCCCAACCCTACCGAGAACGAACAAGTGGTTCTACAGGTACTTTTGTTTTGTGTCAGCCACCTTTTTTGGTGTTACACCTTCTCTACCCTTTTAACGACTATCTCTCCTTTACCTATTGCTGTTCAAGAGGAAGTGCAAATCAAATTTTTAGTGAGGAAAAGGAAAAGGAAAAGGAAAAGCAAAAAAAAAAGAAACGAGAAAAAAAAAACAGATACATTTATTTGATTAACGAAAAAAAATCACAAGCACTCTTTTTATAGCTCTTCCGGTAGTGAGGATCCACACTCTTCCCAAATTCTTCTCTTAATAATGAGATTTCTTACCTTCATTACAGACACTCGCTATCTCATGTTCTTTTTTTTTTTTTTTCTTCACACACGAAAGAAAAGAAAAGAAAAAAAAGAAAAAAAAAACAGGATCTTCCTGTAATGAGATTGATAGACATAAAAACCGACGAATACAGACTCACACGGATGGGGAGCCAAAAAAAAATGTGACTCCATTTTATCCGGTAAATCGAAAAAAAAAATAGTAGAGAGGTAATATAATGATAATGAAACATAAAAGAATGAAAAAAAAAAACGATAATAACATTATGTCCTACAAAGGTACAAAAACTAAAAATAAATAAAAAAAACTTCTACAGACTAATAACACTTGCACGAAACGCTCTTTCAGAGGGTCGTGATGGGGATTGATTCATAATTTCGATAAGTTTTGACCATCGATCAGAGTCTTCGGGTTGACTGGAACAAGATCTATTAACATCTTTCTGCTGATCTTTTTGGTTTTCTTCTCGTTCTTGTTCTTGTTGTTCGGATGAGATCATATCATTCAAGGGTAATAAGAGCTCTGAGGATTTCTCTAGTTGCCCATTATTTTTTAATTCATACTCAAAAGGATCCTTTACCTCTTCAAATGGCCTCATTTCTTGAAACGTCTTTTCATCACTTTGTTGATGTTTAAGATCAGTAGAAACAGTAGATTCTTTGATTTCATTCAATCTTTTATGTTCTATTAACTGTGAGAGGCGTTCAGTTAATCGATCTATACGTTCCTTTTGCTTTTTTAATTGTTTCGCCTTTTCTCGAAGTCTTTTCTTTTCTTCATCCTTCAAAAACTGCTCTGATGATGATTTTACTACTTCTAATTCTTCTGTTACTTTTCCTGCTTCTGCTGGAGTTGTCGTTACCATTGACTTTTCTGTTTCGTTTGAAACTGTAGTCTCTGTATTCTTTTGTGAAACTACAATTTCCTGAAGTTTATGAATTTCATCTATTATCAAGTTTAATTTTTTTATAGGGAGAAATTGTACAGCCCTTGATGGTTTGGGTGATGATAAGTCTTCATATTCTTCACGAGAAGTGGGAATCTCATACCCATTGTTAGAGTGTCGTGGGTTAAGTATCTCACTATACTCTTCAGCTCTACCAATCTCTGTTGCGGTTGCTGTTGCTGGTTGTACAGAAATGGTAACGCATGTTGTGGGGATTTCACGCCATACATGTTCTCTTGCTTGTTTGTGTACATCAAGATACCAGAAGGAATTCATATTTGGTAAAATTAGTATTTGGGATTCGTACATACTCGAAGGTCGTCTTAACGCTGGAGGTAAGGGAAGTTGGAATTCCATTTCATTCCATGTCCCTTCAAGGATGTTATATATCCACATATCATTTAAGAGAACTATTTTCCCATGTGTGTCAACGCGAAATCCACCAATAACGAACATATTATCACCATCAACAAGAGCCGTATGCATAGCACGTGGAAGCTGCATCCATAATGGTATTAAATCTTCTTTCTTTTCTTCTTCCCCCTTTTCAGTTTCTGGTAAAACAACTCGCCATGACATTTCATGCACATCCAATACATAAAGAGCACCTGAGACCTTCGCAATAGGAGGATCATGCGGGTGGTGTTGACTTTTATATTTACTGATGGCTGCCGTCTTCCTTTGAGAGACGTCAAGACCTCCAAAGACCAGCAAATGCGTATCGCCGTAGACTACAGATGAGTGACCCCACAATTGCGGTAATGGTCCAAACGGCTGAACGGCTCGCCAAACACGTGAGACAATATCGAGCACAAAGACATCATAGAAACCGGCACGATCACACGCATCCATGCGTTCATTTGTTAAAGCATCATTATGATTGCGAGCATCACATACGATGGGTTTACCACCAAATATAATCATACTCTCACCCACAACACTACAACTATGATGAGAACGGTTCAGTGGGATAGCTCCGAATGTATCTACACGCATCCACGTTAACGTATCCAGTACGAGTTCATAGTATGGCATTAGGGTTGATTGTGTGTGTGCGTGTGGAGTGAGTGGCTCCCCGCCGCAGACGAGAAGATGTTGGGCAAAGAAAACAGCGGTGTGATAGCGGTGTGCGGGCGGAACAGCACCCGTGCAGGGAGTTATGGTCCACACACGCGTCTCGGGATGTAAACGGGCAACTCTCATAGTGAATAACACTTCGGGATGACTGACGGCAGTGTTGATGGCAATTTCAGAGGGACCAACAGCGTAGAGATCGTTTTCGCAGAGCGTGAGAGTCATGCCTTCGCCATGGGGCGGGGCTGTGCAGTCCATTAATGTCAACACTACAACAACAGTCTATGTCTGTGTAAATGTGTGAGTGTCTATGGGATTGAGAAAGAAGGAAAGAAAGAGGAAAAAAAAATAAAGAAGAAGAACGAAAAAGAGAATGTTTGTGTATATATATGTATGTATATATGATGAAGAAGAAAAAGAAAAAAAAGCAAAAGGAGGATGATAGAAAAAAAAAATAAAATAAAGGAAGAGTTAGCTATGGAACAACGCCGGTCTTTTTTTTTTTTTCTTCTTTTTTTCATGAATACACCATGAATCTCTAATCAGTACTAAACGGCGGTTGCAGAAGATCGAAAGTGTTTTAATAGCATCTGAACATGACCATCTGCATCAAAGTCTTCCTGTTTCGAGTCTCTCAACGAGCTAAAAAACTCATCCCTTCTCTCAGAGGAATACTTGTCAGTTACTCTGGCATTATTACTATTGCTATTATTACCGTTGTTCTTGTTCTTGTTCTCGTTCTTGTTATTGTTGTTACCATTATAATTATTAATACCCCGTTGAAGAGGATTTTTCATACGAGAAGAATGCTGAATTTCTTCTTCTGCTTGTTGATGTTGTTGTTGATGTTGGAGTCTTTTTCTAAAAGCCCCTCGTAGTCTTAGTGTTACAAAGAGACTACTGACAATGGCAGCAAGAATAGACAAAACAAATGAGAGAGAGAGACTACTAGAGATTGTCGTTCGTCCTCGGAATAATAAGGCTTTAAGGTAATCTAATGCCAAAAGCACTGCCGCAATAACTTCGCCACGAACAGAGTTTGTAATGGAGTAATTCATAATGGCATAACACCGTCAAGAATTATATATATTTCTATTTCTATTTATATGATTGTATGTACGTTCTTTTTTTTTTTTTTTTATTTCTTTGTTATACTACCAAAAACACTCAGCAATAAAAAAGAAAAAAAAAGAGAATTATAATCCAAGTAGATACTCTCTGTATCCATAGACCTTTTCTTATCAGAGGCTTCACAAGTATTACTCTTTGATCATTTCATTATTCCCAAGATACATGTATAAACACACACAAAGGTATATATATATATATATATATATATATATATATATATATATAT